GCGCTTGTCGCGGGCAGGGGGCGGCGCGGCGGAGCCTGCGCAGCTGCTGGCGCCCCTTTAAGCCGCGCCGCCCGCTCGCCCGCCCGGGTGTCTGTGCAGCCTGGGAGCCGCGCGGGCAGGAGTCGTCGCCAGCCGCCGGGGACGCGCCTTCCTCCTCCGGTTCCCCCCCTCTCCGGCATCGCCGCCGCCCCCACCTCCCCACCCTCTGCCCCGACGCATCCCCGCTCCTCCCGCCACAAGCCAGCTCTAAGATGCCCCGCTATGAACTGGCTTTGATCCTGAAAGCCATGCAGAGGGTGAGTGAGGGAGGGGAGACGGGAGGGAGGGAGCCAGGTGGGACCTGACAGACCCCCCCCTTCCCCCCCCCTTGCCTCCTCTCCATGCCGCCGCGTGTCGGCCTCGCCGCGGCAGCCTCACGCCCGGGAGCCCGGCGGGGCGGGGGGGGGGCCGGCCCGGCCCCGCCCCCCGGGGCGAGCCCTGCCCTCCGCGCCCTCCCCTCCCCTCCGCTCCGCGCTCTGAAGTGGAGTTGCGCAGGGTGCCTCGGGCTCCTGTGTCTTTTTCTGCCCTCTCTCCCCTTCCTCTTCTTTCCTCACTCCCCTGCCCCCGCTCCTTCGGAGAGTTTGCTTAGTTGCTCCCTTAGAGCCGCAGTCCCCTTCTCTCCCCCCTCCCCTTTGGTCCGCAGGTAAGCAGATCCCACGCTTGGCGAAATAGATGCATCTCTCCCTCTCTTATCCCCCCCCCCGCCCTTTAGCCTGGTGCAAGTGAACTTAGCCTTTCCTTGCCCCTATACACGGGTGCCAGCACGTCCCCCTCTTCCTCTGCAGCACCAGCTCTTTCCATTGCCGTGTGCTCCCCTTCCCCCTCCCCAGCACCTGCCATGGCTTCGCTGGCTACCTGGCTGGGTTGCAGCAGCTCCACGCTAGGTCCCCTCGCCTCTGGGAGGCCTTGTGGTGAGCCTTGGTGGGGAAAAACAAGAGCTCACTCCGGTGAGCTTCCCCTCGTGGGGTGCCAGCTCCCTGCCTCTCCAGCCCCCCTCTGTACCCGGGAATTCTCAGTAATTATTATTTTTTCCTGCCGTTGCTAACACCAGTTGAGCTCTGCTGATATGGCTTGCTGTATCGCCCATGGGAAGGGTTGCTAGCCGTTGCCACTGGTTTTGGCAGCATGATGATAAGCCGTGGTGTAAGCAAGTGAGGTTTTATGATGCTCTTTCTGGTTTACAAGAGCTGATTCAGTGCGGGGGGTGTGTGTACTTGTGCGTAAAAATAATAATAAAATAGAAACATCTCTGTGTGGATGGGACCCTTTATTTGGAAGATAATAGCTGATACTGGCCCTTCTCTAGTACCTTCTATAGCCTTTGTTTATCTGCTACTTTCCAGCTTAATATGCAGTGCTGGTGTTGGAATGTAGCAGCACTTACACTAGGCTGTAACCCTTCTGATCTGACCCAGTGTGGATATGCTTGCTCTTGCATTTAACCTTCATTTAAATGAACATGTATATTTGTCATAGAATAAGTGGAAGCTAAATAGCGTTGCTGTGTTTCTTTTGTAGTTATGGAAGCATGTCTTCATGTATTACATGTGCTACACATACTAGTACATTTCCATTCATTTTACATGTACCATCCACATGTCAGGGTTGGTTTTTTTTTTTTTTTTAACTTGGCTTAACTGCAGAAGCTGTAGTAGACTTCTCAGGTGAGTCCTCTAGTGGAGAAATACAGCAACAGGGAAAAAATCTGGTGACATTGCTGCACCACCTCACGGAGCAGCATTTGCTCTGACAAAACATGCTGCTTTTGGACTTGGGTTGTCAACATGCGATTTATTTTTTTAAATTTTTTTTCTTTCCACACCCCTCCTCATCAATGTATAGGCCATAGGTAAGGTGATGAGATGCTTTTTGTATACATGCTGTTAATGTGGGAGATGCATTATGCTGTGCAGATGCTATCAGTGCAGAGCAGGACAGAAAGCGTAGCAAATCTGACATAATACTGAGACACGAATAAATTGACTGCTCTGAAAGGGTGCCATGGAGTGCTGTCTAGTGGAAAGGATCTTCGGTTTCTAGGATCTGAGCAGAGAGATGCAGGGATAAGCTTTTAGCTGTAAGATGCTTCTAATGAGCACCGATGTACTCAGGATTTAACATCTGCAACCTTTTCCTCTTTGAAATTTGACTCTCCAGTATATTCTTTCCTCATAAATGTATCTTAACATGTTTTTTAGCTCTGTGATTATGTTAAAACACTTAAGTTTTGGTTCAGGTGTACTGCTATTTTTAACCTACCCTTGTTGTAACTCTAAAATTTAGAGAGTCTGTCTCGATGCTGGTTTTTTTTGTTGCTCTTGACAGTACACCAGATCTAGGTGCTTTTTTGCCTTCCAGTATCTTGCTACTGCTGCCTTTTTTTGTGTAATGAAAAAAAATTCTGTAGTGGTGCTGCTAAATCCTGGCAAGGGGTTCGCTAATGACCCCTATAGCACTGCATAATATTGACTGTAATGCTAACTTAAATTAGTGAAAACTTGGAGACCTGAATATGGGGCTAATAAAACAGTCTGAAATTATGGACTGACTGCACAACTCCTTCCTGTAGAAGTTGGAGAGATCATATACAGTCCTGAATAAATTACATTGCTGCTTAACACTAATGCTTCCTGATGAAGCTACCCTCGGCAGGTGTTCACTGTCTTGCCGTGTCCCTCTGTGCGGTGGCTGTGTGCTCTGGTGCCTCCTGAGGCTTGAGCAAGTGCTGACTCTTCTCTTGGTGTCTGTGGCATCCCTCCTCATCTCTGACAGCTCCGCTGCCTTGCAAAAAAAAAAATAAGCCCCTGCCACCTGGCTTTCTTGTGCTCTAGGGCTGTCATTAACTCCTGTGAGCTCCCTGGCAGCTTGAGCACAAACATTCTCAGAGCTACAGTCTGGTAGACTTTCATGGGTCTCTTCAGAGGCAAGCTTCATGATTCTGTGGGGTTCTCCCTCCCTCCTCCCAATTGTCTGTAATGGTTACCTTGGCATTTTCATAGATGTAGGCAGAATAAATCCCTCAAATTCATTTTTGTTGCTTTAAACTCTGTTGCTCCCTAGCACTGCTTGTGTTCAAGTCAGGGATCCCTCCTCATTCTTTTCTTGCACGTAGCTTCTGTTGTGAACCGTGGAGTCTGTTGTGTAGCTGGTCTCCTCCCTGCCCAGCTAGCCTCGACATGGTTACAGGGTGAGCGTGACCCCTCAGTCCTGCCTGATGCTCCCATGTCCTCTTGCTTCTTGGCAGATTTCTTCAGCTTTCTTTTGTGTCTTAAAAATGCAACACCAAAAAGCTTGGCGGGGAGGGGGGAAGCCAAGGGAGAAAACCTTTACTTTCAAACTTTTTCACCAGTTGTCTGTGTGTACTTTTCACAAAACCTTGTGACTTTATTCTGAAGTCAAAGCTGAGCAGCCATTCTCTGTCCTGTTTTGTAGGTAGCCTATGATCAGGTAATTGACTTGCACTAGAAATACCGTATTTGTAAATTGCCTGTGGACAGAGACCCTGCTCAGCAGAGACCCCAGTCAGTGACTCTTAGGGAAAACAATAATAAAATCCTAAAAGCACCCCCAAAATAAATAAATAAATAAAAAACTTCTTCTCTGTGGCATCACTGTATTTGAAGAGTAGCTGCAGTGAGGGACTTGGATTGTGTTACTCTGTGTGTGAGTATATGGAGGAGACGCTTTGGGAGAAGAAAGGTACGACGCCAGTGAAGTGACTGGAACTTAGGGTGGAAATAATGAATTTTGCCCACGTGTGTGTCTTTCTACACTCCAACATGCAAATAACAAATAGTACGGTGAGCTTGGGGAGTTTGATGGCAGACTTGCTATCAGTAGTGTGCAGATGTGTGCAGAACACGTTGCCTACCCTCAAGAGCCCAAGTCAAAGACTACTGTTGTGGTGAAGGTAGAGGTGCAAAATGAAGACACAGCTGTTCATGCTCTAAACTTTACTATTCATAGCAAAAGATGAATTTCTAATTATTTCTAACTTTCTCCCAGGAGAGTCATCTTCAGCTTTCAGCAGGGGGATTATGGCAGAGCAGGACCTTCAGCAGGAAAGGGTAGTGACCCGCTAGTGCGTTAGCAGGAGTTGTCGCTTGCTGGAGAAAGGAGGGCTCTTCAGGGAGGCTTCCTCTTCCTACCCTTCTTGTCCTGCCGAAAGTCCCCTGAGAGCCCGGGGAAGGAAGTGGGGGGGAAGGGGAAGGAAGAGCTGGAAATGGCTTCCTATTGCTCTGATGCTGTTTTGCAGACTGACCACAGGGCGGCAATGCGAGACACCCTCCAAGGAAAATTGGCAGCCGGGGGACCTAGGACAGAGAGAGAAGGTGGCGGTATTCCCGTGCTGTTCTTGCTGCTGCTCGACTGTTGCGAGCTGGGACCCCCGTCTTCAACAAAACAACCTTGTAACTGGGACTGAAGTGAATGGACAGTTTGGAAGTACTTTATATTAGAGTATTTTGCAAAAAATGAGGAAGCATATCAATATTTTATTAGCAGCATACTTGTCTCCCCCCACTTCACCTGTACATAGTGTGTGTCCTAGTCTAAAACCTCATTACCTTGTTTCAGCAAACACCTCTGTAATACTACAGTGAATCTGGGCTCCCGGTTTGATTGACATGTTCACACAATGTAACTTGTCTTCAGCATCTGTTTGTTGCCTTTGGAGTGGGTTGCCATGTTTCAGAAATTCCCTACCTGCTGTGGAGATTGTTGGCTATTTTAGGAAAACCAAAGTAATGGGCAGTAGTGTTGCTTGACATCTTGGCTATTACACTTAATTGCTGTGTAGGCAGCTGCAGCAATTGGGCTTTTGATATCTTAGTTGCTAGGAAGAAGGCGGGGAGGATGAAGAGGGCAGTAAGCAGGCAGATACTGTTGTATTTTCTTTCCTTTCTGGTGAACCTGCCTGTTCTTACAGTTGAATGGTACATCTTCCCAGCCCCTCTCCTGTACTTAGCAGGTTAAAATTACCCAAGTTTTCCTCTATTTCCTTTGACTTTTTTGGCAGGCTGAAACAGGCTTTTCTTCACAGTATTATGCCTAGCAGGGAAGGACCCTTGTGTCATGGGGTGCTGCTGGAAGGAAGACCAAAGAGTTGGAACTAAAAGTCAAGACTGGAAAACCACAAGATCTAGCATTGACTCTCCTGTAGGAGTCAGCTTTTTGTTTTCTGCCTTAAGCATTTCCATAAGAATAACTGGCTTTTGAAGTGTGTGATACAGACAGCATTTGAGAATGGTACCTTCTT